GAAGTGAAGACAAACGTTCTTGGGTCATTGTTGATCTCAAGTACGTTTTCAGCAATCGAAGTTCATATGAACGCTCAGCAGAAATACTAGTAAGTGCGAAGGTCACTACAATTTTCAGAAGGGTTGTTATAGATGAATATGTCGTTTCCATTGAACAATAAGCCATCAGGCTTAGAAGATACAAGGGATCGATTTGATTTGATTTTGTTTCTTCAGTTGGTGAAAGGTTCTTCGTCGTCAACCAATGTTTGAACTTCCGGTAATATGAATGTAATAATGATGCCTCTATATAGCTGATCGCCTGATTTGACTTGCTTCTCTCTTTTTCTTTATTTGAGTCTAATGTTTTTCGTTTCTCTCTCCCCCACCCACTCTTACGTCATAATTGACATTTTATAGTTATCTTCCTCCTTCTTTTCTCCTTCCCTTTCTCTTCCTTTTTGTTGTTGAAAATGATAGGGGCGATCGCCCCCTGAAAATAAACCTGGTACACTATATGCGATGCAGAAGGCTATTGAAATCACCTTAAGTTGATTTCTGTGAAGTAGTTGCGATCATGTTTTTTATACCCCAAACAAGAAAATTAGTTTAATGACAAAATTAAAACACCAAGCGTTTGACCAAGCAGGGGCGGTTCAAGGTTTATCGGAAAAGGAGGTTGTGAGCGTTTGTTGTTGTTTTAACCCCTGTTCTCCGGAATACAATTTAAAAAGAGATATTTTAAAAATATGTGTCAATCTGTTTAAACCGATTGGAGTCAATAGAGCAGTTTACTAACATATTCAAATTTATATAGGTTTCTTTCCTAGGGATATAATGAAGAGTTATTCCATCAACCTCTTATTAATGAATGAACTACATTTAATAGGAATCGAGTCAGCATTCATTATTTGTTGCTATGTTGGGTAATTCTCGGACAAGCCTTCAAGTTGTCAAGAACAATTTTTGTTTAAAAGATATCCATAAAATTTGAATGTAAGTAAAGAACGGTGTAGATGTGTATTTTTTTTTTGAGAGTTAAGTTTACTTATCATCTTTATTGAGAGGTCATTATCTAAGTGAGTATTGTCATAAAAAGGAAGAAAGTTCCTAAATTGTTTTGATGTACATGTAATATGAAACAACATCTACATTAAGGTTATTGCGTAAATTACTTTAATGTACATTCTTTTCATTCTGATTACACTTAGTATAAATTATGCTCTACGTTCTAAGGCAAGACATTGATCTAAATTTGCCACTCTCCATCCAGGTGAAGAAAATGGGTACTTGGTATAGGATTAATTCCTTGAATGCTTGAGTTCCTTTGTCATGGTGCCTAAACTAGCACTATATAAATGGACATTATCATCATCATCAGCATCACCACCACCACCAACACCAACAACATCATCATCATCATCATCATCATCATTGTAATAAAATAAATAACCAAAGAGACAATCTTTTGAAAATACATTCATACCTTTAATACAAAGAGATTATAAGTCGAAAGATTATCAAGAAAGTCCATGAGTAACTAACAATAAAAACTCATTCCATACAATACATATCTCATAAATTGTACTTTTAGATGCCACCTCAAATAAACATTTGCATACTACATACATTAGAAATTTGGGGATTTTTCCTCCTTTTTTTCTGAGGGGGGGGGGGTTCATCTTTTGTATGTATTATATATTTCCTGTAATATTTCATACATACAAACAAAATTAAACATCCTATGAGCAAGAAATTTGAAAGGTTGCCCCTTTAATTACCAAATAGATTTAGCTCAATATTCATAACTGCCTTACTGTTCAATCCCCAAAGTTATACACAATAATGTTTCTACTTCGTATGTTCTCGAACACATGAAAGCAATCTGAATCAGAGTTTATCACATTTAGTCATTCAATACCTTCTGTCAAAACAACTTATAAGCATCTTACTGCAAACACTTCCCATTAGTTGTTAATAATAACTATGATGAATGCTTTACCTACTAAATATATTCCAAGCACTGTATTACTTTTTGTAAAAATTCGCCTCTCATAAGGCACCAAATAAATCCAGAAAGTTATTCCTATAACCTTGTTCCCCCATATATAAATAAACCTTAGTTTGTTTTATAAATACAGAAATCAATATTCCAAATGCCCATAAAATAAGAACATTGTTTAATCATCGGTGTAAGGGTCATTTGTATACCGTAGATCCTTGTATTATAGATTCTCTCCTACATCAGAAAAAAATAATAAATAAAATGTCAATAATATGTTTGAACACTTTGCTCGAGCTCCTAGAGTACCTCACTGCCGAAATCTTGGAACTCGCAGGCAACGCTGCCCGCGACAACAAGAAATCTAGGATTTCAGTCAGTATTGATATTTACTGGTATGCATATTATGAACATATACATGCTCATACATAATAACATGAATCCAAAATGTAACTATCTTTTATCAAACAATTGCATAGAAAGCCATTTCTATACATTCAGCAAGAATAGTTAAATCTTTCCTGTAAATGTTTACAGAGATTATGAAACATTACATATAAACTTCACTTCAAGAGGTCTGTTATTGCTATAAAGCGGCATGGCAAGTGTAATTAATTAATTTTAACCTTAATCATTTAAGTCTTTTATTTCTTTTTCTTTTCCACAGTAATGGTGATGGTTTTCAAGACACAGCGTAGTACAATATCATACCTGCCAACCTTTGAAGACTAAAAATAGTTTTATATAAATATATAAGATGAAAAATATGCAGTGTTAAGTTATGGATTTAAAAAATCCATAACTTTCTTATTTATTGTCCAATTTTTCTCAAACCTTCACTGATCTGTTCCTCTCATTTTTCTCGTTGTTATCAGGGTTGACTTCCCCTTTAAGTCATGTACTTTAACAAAGAGTTCATGCCCTTCTAGTTCTGAACAGGCAATATAGGTGAAGATGATAAATCTAATGTGGGCAATCCAAGTTATTAGCAGTGTATTTTTTATTCTACATTTGATTTTCTCCAGCAACATTAGGTGGATAATTCACCTAACACTGCTTTACTGAATTCATTTGTTTGAACACCTAGCACAAGTGGCATTATTGTTCCAGCATTTATCGTAGCAATAACATGCATGTACACATGTAATATTTATTGCACATACTGGTTTTTGTACTGCGATATAATGTCAAGAGACCGTAATAAGCATCACATACATCTGCTATAAATGGGACTGGGAACTTAAGGCAAGAATGTGAGCATATAATATTCACATATCACATACATATAAAGGTATATGTGTATACATAGATAAAAATGTTAAAGACTTGTAATAAATTAATCATATTCCCAGTAATATTGAAGAACCAATGTGACTTAAAAAGGTAAAAAGATTAAATACAAAACAAGTATTTCCATAGGAACAATTAATTTACTTTACATTGGCTAGTTTAAAACAAAATCAGTGATGCTGACAAGACTCCCAGAATTCATCATCTTGGCAGCAACAGTTCAAACTTGAAACGATGACAAAAATATAAAATCTTTTTCTTCAACAAAAGAAAAGACAAGATCATGAATGAATTCATTGCATGAAAACTGTCAAACTATTCCCAGGTTATCAATTTCTCTCATGTGACGTATATTTCATTTTTACATTGTAGTAAAAAAAAAAGAAGATAATAATCATTCATGTACTTTTGACATTCACATATTTATTTGCTGATAGAAAAGCTAAAACTGCCAATAAGAATTAAGACATACAGAACTGAAAAAGAAGATAATAAAATACTGTCTGATTAGAACACAAGGTTTCTGAGATGTATGTTGAGCTTTTTATTTCAGAATGAAATATTGTATATAAGGATTAACCATTTTTTCCTCCTTAAAACTGAAACGATAACTTTCTCTCACAACACTATATATATATATATGCAGTTAATTATATTAATGACATTACCCTGACTATACTGATGGCAGCAACACATTTCTTAGATGTGTTTTCACATTCTCCCAGACTCCAGAGAGACAGAGAGAGAGAGAGAGAGAGATAATGAGAGAGATAGAGGAGGTAGAAGAGACAGATAGAGGGAGAGGGGAGAAGAGAGAGAGAGAGAGAGAGAGAGAGAGAGAGAGAGAGAGAGAGAGAATGAATAAGAGAGAGAGGGGAGAAGAGAAAGAAAGCATAAGCACCATATTTTAGATTTCAACTTTCAAATAATTTTAATGGTCAAGACAATGTATGGCCACACCATATTCTACTGAATTTTTATTCCTGCACAGGATAATGCCCATTCAAGCATAATTTACAAGACTGTTGTCACTCATACAAGCAGCAATTATTTGGGCAATAAATAAACATATGTATGTACAATTCCATTTTTGCAGATCATCTAAAGGTATCAAAGTATTTAATAATCACGTAAATCACACTACCAATCATATGTTTACCAGTACTTTTACCAGTGTCAAAAAAATCTTATGATCATGGTGGGTTTATTCCCACAAGAACAATGGCCCAAGTTAATTTGAAAATTTGTTTTTTCTTTTGCAAAGATCTTTGAATTTTCCAGGGCTAAATCATATTATTAATCTATTGATGTCTATTTCCTCTGATATATATATATATATATATATATATATATATATATATATATATATATATTGTACTGTATTGTAGAGGTGTTGTAAACGAGTGGTTTGAGCACTTGACCGGAAATGCAAAGGTCGTGAGTTTGAACCCAGACACAGAACTACATGTAATGTCCTTTGGCAAGGCTTTAGTCTACAATTCTCACTCCCTACACAGGGGAGAAACAGGAACCTGGTAGGATGACGAAAGCCTCTGTGATAGTAATTGCCATTTCCCCTCATGGTGAAAATATGGTAGGAATACTCCCCACGGAGCGGAGATGGTACAAATTGTGTGTGAATGAATTCAGTGACTGGGGCAATATTAATATATCTGTAAAGCACTAAGAGACAGTATTTCGTATTAAGGGCTATATAAATCCAGAGTTCTTTTTTTTTTAATGGATCTGTTCTAATGGTCAGGTGTATCCAAAATCTGAAACATGATGTATCAATTGTCACTGAAATTATTTCAAAAGAAAGATATCCTTTCTTTGAAATAATGAGAAAGTATTCGTAACAGCTAAATTAATTAGCTGAGAAGAACCCAGTTTATCAAAAGATATTATGTAGCTAATACAAAAAAAAATCATACCTTATATTTTTTTTAAATCTGGTTGTAAATCGTGGTTGAGTTGTATATTGCATTGCACCATCATACAAAAATTGCAAACTGTATACTGTTTCCTGCATGTAATAAATACACTTGAAATCATCAACTGTTTTACACATACCGAATCATAAGCATGATAGATATACAAATACTACACCTCTATCATATCCCACAGATAACTGTATCCTGCACCAAGTGAAATACGCAACTCTCTACTTGCTTTGTACTTTATTCTGTTCCTACTTCTACCCTTTTTGGATTGCCAGTCAGTACATTTTGGCACAGGACTACTTCATTATGCTTTTTAAGCTTTTTAAGCTTTTTACTTAGCAGGATACAAGCAATTCAAATCAATTTTTTCATTTGCAGATCGAAATCAACAACTGACAAATTGACAGGATTGCATATACAGAGTTGAATAGATTTACAAGCTACATTTGCTTCAGGCCAATTGCCGCTCATAAGCTGCAATCTTTCATCAAATTATTGAACTTTATTCAAAGTGGGCAGTTGAAATGAATGACACAAGGTCCCCTCTGCATAAGAGCCACTGCACAAGTCATATCTTTTCATTTCTCTTCAATTATGCAGTACTGATAATGGAATGTCAAGCACACAGCAGCAATATATCATTAAAAACACGTCTTCAGAAGCTATGAACATACATGTCGCAAATACTTCAAATCACACATGAACCTTACAAATATTCAGACTTAAATTCTCTCTTTAACTAATTCAATTTTGAATTATGATTACCCAATTATTCTTATAATATAATATTATAATTGGGAGCGCCAGGAGTGTCACATATGACAGACATGAGCGCTGTACAAGAACCCACTATTATTATTCAAATAGGTGGGATAAACCAGCCAAATTTGAACGTCATATATTGTATTTAGAAAATGAAAAGCTTGCCATTTTTTCTTGAAATTCATAATAGATTTCTTACTTATTAGATACAATGAAACATTGCTTGTATTTAAATGAACAATTAAAAAAATGATACTACTTTAAGAAAAAATCAGTCTCATAAAACCTTATTTAGCTGTCTCAAATAATCATATTCATAAAATATATTTTGGTGGTATTATGGAGGTTCTTAGTCATAGTGACATTAAGGGTAAACTAGAAAGAAGAAAATGAAAACAGAAAGAAAAGGTATCATTTGCTTGCTGAAACCCCTGGCATAATCAAAATCAAACAGTGGAAGGTTTTGCCTTCACAAGTCATCTTTTGCTTTAATATGCAATTTAGCAAATCAAGACATACACTATGGTTGAAGGCTCAAAGAGAAAGAAAATTCAGGTTTCATATTCAAATACATGAATATATCAAATATAGAAAAGGAGGAAAGAAGAAGGAAATACACTGGTATCTAAGCATCGCGATAACAGGGTTTGGCCAGTTTTAAAAAGGATACATCAAATAGAATAACAATCCAAAGTAATTTGTATGATTAATCACTTTTACATGATAGATACACAAGTAAATTGTTTTGTATATCTAAATATAAAAAGATGATCCAAGTAGTAAGAATCTAAAGACCTAAATCACTTTGCATATAAGAAACAATCCTCTCACAACGATTCAAAAAAATTTGGGGGTAATACAAGATTGAATGAAAAGTACAAGTAAAATAAAACATATACAAGGAATATCTACATGTGTATTGCTTAGATAGTCTGAAAGTAACTTGATAAAAGAACATAAAAATAGGAAAGACAAATCAGAGAGTAACACACACTGAAAGATGACCTCCTTGACGACTAAAGGTCAAAGGTCACCTTTTCAAGATGATTAATGAGATGCAGGAGGTTCTCTCATGCTTTGGGTGCGTAGCGGGGGTCTACCAGGGCGCAAAGGAGGTTTTCTGGATATCGATGGCTTCTTGGCTACTGTTGGTTTTTTAGCGATGAAGGGCTCCCCCTCTTGATTGTCTTTAGTAATGAGGTTACCACCTTGCTTCCAATCACAGTCCTTTGAGTTGTTGGAATTCACGTTTGGGCGTGGCCGTGATATGGGTTTTAGCGCCGCTCTGGCACCAGTAATGTTCATGGTGGGTGGTTGCGAGTCGGGCACAGGTGGGGGTGATGATGGGGGTGGTGCAAGCTTAAACGGGGGTGTTGGCGGTTTGGGTCGCCCAGGCGGTGCTACCGACCTCGCACCAGAACCTGGTTCTGATTTGGCAGGAAAGTTAAAGCTTTGGGACCGAGCAGTGGGTTTGAACCTAGGAACCTGTGGGCGGCTTGGAGGGGCTGTTGGTTTGGCTGGAGTCTGGGAGGGGCGCGTTGGTGCTGCTGAGGGTAAGGGTGGTGGTCTGGAGGTCTGTCCTGGAGGTGGGGAACTAGGTCTTGCTGGTGGTCTATCAGGCTTGTAGCTGACGCTAGGTCCCGTTGGGATAAGAGGGTAGACGTCGTGGACCACGTTACCGGTGCTTTTGTTTGGGATGTGCTCTATGGTCGGAGGGGAAGCTCGAACTGATGGGGTGCGTGTGACAGTCACAGTCTTACGTGTTGCTCCATTGCTACCAGGGCTGTTCCTAAATGACTGATGCCTGCAAGAGAAATTGAAGTGTGTCAAAAAATTGTCATATTCATGTATCAAACAACTTATTCTATCTGTGCACAGTTGTCCATACACAATAAAATTCTGATAATCAAACAAACATACCTTAAAGTGGACCAATCACCTGAAAAAATAATGTGTATGTGTAAAGGTATAATTAATTTATTTAAAAAAACTAACTGGGATTCTTTAGGTAAAAATTATGGAGTATTAGGAAAATAAAAAGATAACATAAAACCCTACATATAGGGTGCATGGGCACGGAATCCAAATCTAACTTATGTTTCTTACGCGCCTTATTCTGTGAGATCGTGTATGCATGTGTTATTAAAAGGGATTGGGTATTTTTTGCCTCAGATTCTAAACAAAATCCTGGATTAAGCTCATGCTGCAATCATATTTATAAACCTTCAGGTCAGTCAGGAATCCCATGACTTTTACAAGCCGATCGCCAGTCTGATTATCAAGATATTTATGATTGGAATTAGAAATGTCAAAAAGTGTTTGCCAAATGGTTTTGAACAGTTTTTTATACCGCTACAGTCTATTGGGGAAAATGAGTTCGGTCACTCAAAGATTATAATTTTTTTTGGAAGCACTTCATGATCATTTTGAAGCGCAATTTTTTTAGGGCTTCAATATTACACCATATCACAGACACTGAGAACACATAGGGCCATGCATCTCAGATTTGTAAAACTGGAAACATTGTTTTAAAATGCCTTTAAAAAGAGTATTCAAACTTTAAAAATCTAAGATGACAAAGATAACTTTCCTCCATTATTCTCAGCTTTTAACTTGTCAAAATTAATATTGATAAACTCCCAAATAAAACAAACAGATGACAAAATACACAGGTAATCCACCAATAAAGAAAGTTAAATGGAAGGTAATGGGGAGTGAAAATAATGGCTCATATAACTCAATTGAAGAAAACAAAAAACATATATCTTCAATATAAAACCAAATGTACCCGGTATTGTTTACAACCAAACAATTTGACAAAGAATTGTACCAAAAGGAGGTCAGTCACACAGCTTGTAACACTTTTAAAAACTCTATAAAACAGAATGCAGAATATAGGGTTGACCGTACAAAGAAAGATGTACATGTAAAGTACATCAAAATCATGTAATTCCATCATCACCTTGAAGAGAAACTGAGTCAAATTTGTCAAATTGAAGTAATACAAAATTAGAGCAATAATAGGGTAAAATGTAATACAATTTAAAAAAAATAGGAATGACCATCAATACAGAGATATGGCAAGTAAAATATGACAAAGTCATATGCGTACGATGAAAATCTGAGACCACCGGACAGATCAACTGCAAAAATGGAAACTGTAAAAGTACCGCAAAACCAAAGAGCAGAACAAACCAGGTAGTATCAGGTACATGTATTATTTGCAGCTTAGATGAAAGCAGAGACAAAGAGACAGACTGTATGAACTTTACGATGATACCATAGATTTGAACAGTCAAATACAGCGTTCCAAGATTAAAATCCATTAAAATTAAGACACAGACTGATCATTCATTACATTCTCAGTGAAATAAAAGTATGAATCTTAAATGAGAGAGCTAAAATCATCCCTCCATTGCACATATGCACAGCTTATATGGATTAAAAAACACCAGGCAGACAAAAGGAGATTAAACCGAAGACCCATTCAGTCTGACAAATCTTGTTAAAACGACCAAACACCACCAACTGCTCTCAAAAAGAGATAACCTAAAGAGACTCTAAGGCCCAAATTCACAAAGGAGGTTTAGATTTAACCCATGGTTTAAACTCTCATTAACATAACCCATGGTTTAAAAATTAGCGCAAAATTAGCATACCTTGCCGCATCTAATATTGGACCTCTGACTTGTGTCGCGCTTATTTTGAGCTTATTTTAAATCATGGGTTATGTAAATGAGGGTTTAAACTATGGGTTAAATGATAAATCTAAACCTCCTTTGTGAATTCAGGCCTAAGAGAGTGAGAGAAAGAGACTGTGAATCAGCCTTTCTGGATCCAAATCAAGGAAGAAAAAAAAGGATTGAGAATGTCAAACAGACCTAAAAGCTTGAAGATGAAACTATAGATAAGTTCAGTCTCAGAAACTGTTTTAGAAAGACCACACACCATCGATTGCTGCCAAGAAGAGATAACCTAAATAGAGTGTAGCAGGAGACTGTGAATCAGCCTTTCTTGATCCCCATCAAGGGAAAATTTGAAGAATTGTGAACGTCAGACAGCCAAGAAGCTGAATGATGAAACTTTAGATCAGTTCAGTCTGAATAAACTACACCACCCTTTCTCTCAATATGGGCTAGGTCCAGAGAGACAGAGGGAGGCATAGAGAGAAAGAGAAAGAGAGAGAAGGGAGAGGAAGACAGGGGAAGACAGAGGAAGGACAAGAGAGAAAGAAAGACAAGAGAGAGAGAGAGAGAGAGAGAGGAGGGGAAGACAGAGGAAGGACGAGAGAGAAAGAAAGGAGAGAGAGAGAGAAAGAGAGAGAGAGAGAGAAAGAGAGAGAGAGAGAGAGAGATAGATAGAAAAAGACAGAGACAAAAAGAGACAGGGGGAGAATCACCCTTTCTGGCTCCTCGTCAAGAAAAGAACTGTCTTCATTGAAATATTCAATCCCATCTTTATCATTCCATCGATCAATCTCTTCTACTCCGTCCTCCTGGCTGTGGGATGTCACTACTGCATGATGGGATACACCAGCTGATGTGCTGCTACGACTACAATAATCCAGAAACACACACCAAGATTTATAGTCAAATTTATAGCACATTTCACAAACCATCCCAAATCTTCACGTTTTTAAACAAGATGAGGTTCCACTGGGCATGTAAAGCCCCACTGCACTACTTGTAGCAACTTACTCCCTCTACATAGAAAACATTGCCTAAGCGGTGCCCTTTGGTCCCCCATGATCCTCTTTTTCCTATGTTAATTGAGAGCTGAGTTGATGAGATAACCACCTGTCAGTGACCCCACTGGGTGGTCTAATCCTTCCTTCCAGGATGATAGACGCAGTCTGCAGGCACAAACCTTATTACTCGTAGTGCATAGCAGAGTGTCTGAACTAGAAGACTAAGTTTACTGCACGGTCTACTGCACCCCATAGGGTCTGTACTATAGCCAGAGACTGACAGTGCTAGGCTCAACTCAAGATGTTATGGATATGTGTTACTATGTGTCTGTGCCTGCACTGCAGACTAATAGAAGCACTTCATCATAAACTCTTCTCCATGTATCTCCTTCTTAAAACAATTCTTCCATCTAAGGGTGCGTTTAAGCTTAAATTTTGAAGGCAGAATGAGCGATTTGTAACGCTCATCGTAAACGCTCATCGTAATCGCAGTTCCACGGTGCACTGTTTATGCTCACTTCTCTTGCTCCTCCAGGCAATTCTCCTTGGGTGGCCTTCAGCTGGATTCGCAAACCTGTGTGCGCATGCTACGTAGACCCACTAGAGGTCAGTGCATTGACCCCATTTAAACGCGTTTACAAATTGTAAACGCATCTTTTTGTGAGTTTACGATCGGCGATCGTGATCGCCGTTTTTTCGGTGATTCTACAAAAGTGAGCATGGACACAACCGTGTTTTAAACTAAACGCGTAACAGATGCCTGATTCTGGCCAGAAAAAGTTAAGCATAAACACGCCCTATGTCTCATACATGTAAAATACACCATCGGGTATATAACATACCCTGTCAGATATTGTTATTGTGCATGTATCCACCACGCAAGGTGCTTAAGGCACTCCAAATACCCTGACTCTATGCGCTACCGATTTTGGTACTCACAGCATTAGAGGGTAAAAGTTATTACAACTTGGAGTTGAGTTCTGGTCATGCGATTGGATTGGGTAACAATGTAGCACATAAAAATAGATGAATACTGTGAGGATTTGAATTCATCAAAATGATAAGAAATCAACTCATCCCTGCTGGAAGTTACATGCACAGTACAAGTGTATATGGGACTACTCAAACATTTTCAATATATTCTTATCATATTTTTAATATGATTGCATTTGAAAAGCCATACTTTTCAGGGGGTATTAAACAAAAATAGAAATATATTTGAAGAGCCATCCTTTTCAGGAGACATTTTTTCCATATTCTTCCACATTAACATAATAAGAGAATGAAAACAAATTCTATTTATTTTTCACCTTCCCTCAATAGTTCCCAATGAATAACAAGGAGTTTCTCCTCAATTAATTGACTTACCCAGTCCTAGCCTCCCGGCTCTTGTTGAGCATCTGACGAAGTCTCTGTCGCTTACAATAGATAACGACACCACAGACGGTCAGTAGAGGGAAGATGACTATGAAGAGAACGAGAAGAGCAGCGACGGTTCCAGTTGACACACCTGCAAGAGGAAATAAAGGGTCAAGATTATCTTATCTTCTCTCTGGAATGATAACTAGTTAGTTGGTTGGTTTTATTTTCCTTATAAAAAAATTTATAAGTACATATGAATATGAACAACTATTCGGATCATTTACCTACAAAATGGCTGGAATGCTCTATACAGAGCTAAATACTGGTAATGGCTGTTATTTCTAAAGTTCCGATATTGGGTAAGGAATTTTAAGGTATTAATCCAGCTTAATTAATCTGTATTAATGCATGATTAATCCAGACTATCCTACACTATAACAAATATTTGAAGAATTGCTATCAGAGTAGCTAGTATCCATGATTGTGGATGAATTTTGTGGCTAACTTCAGAAAATTCCAACCACTTTTCTACGATTATGGGTTTGTGAAATGAGTTTAGAACTTCATGTGAAACAAAATGGTGTAATATGAGATTCCTTCTTATTAATAGTATTAAAAGTAACAATAATACAAAATAATACACATAATTCTGCTCCAAACCATGGATTTTCTTTAAAATGTAAAAAAGAGATGCACATTTCAGAAATGCATAATCAGAAATTCAAATAGAAGATATTACATTTACAAGACATATATTGACCATACACGTACGTGCAACAAGAGACTCAAATTACTGTGCAACAAACAACATTGTGCATGTTATGCTCAAAACAAAACAGGTACGTGTATTTCTGACTTGGTACTCACAGAATGGATTATAAGAAGGGTCCAAGTTAGTTTTCATTAACATTTATTATTAATTAACAACATAAATTAGCATCATTTGATCTGGTTTTGGCCAGGTCAGCCTTCTTGTAATGCTATCAATAAATTCAATGCAATCGTCACACAAACTAAATCTGTTAATCAATTTATTACATGAGGAACTATACTTTGGACTTGCACTTGAACTAAATTCAATACCACACTGGCCATCTTAACCCATAGAACTTCAGAGTTTTTTAAAGGTTTAAACGAATCAGCTTTTTCTCCTCAAATTGGCAATATCTCACTGCATTTTCCACTTTTTCTTTATTCAATGTATAGTAAATGTCAAAGTGTTAACGAAAGTTTTTTAAAAATCAAATCAACAATTTGAACACAAAAATAATGATTGCAAATTTTACTCTGCATTGCCAATTTAGAGGCACTGAACATTTTTCAATTAAATTGCTCTTATTTATGAATGACATCACGTACTGCAACAGATATGGCTTCAAATTTTCAGTGATTTTTGCACTTTCTGCCCATGTAATATTTGTCATTCAGAGCATTCTTGATCAAAAGGTAAACTTTAAATGTCCCTCTAAAAGGTGACACTATGCAACCATTTTACAATCATTCTCCAATGAGCAAATCCATGTATAAAGTATACTTATTACGATAGATTCATCTTTGTAAATATTCACTTTTCTGTTTCACGATAATGTATTGTGACCTATTAGATATTAGAAGTTATAGGGTTGGAGAAATGATAATAGAAATATTATACATGTGATACACATCTCCAAGGGAAAAATTGTAAGGATGTCCAACATAATGAGATTATAATTCTATTTCAGTACTCAGTATATCAACCATTGGTTTATGCTATTCATCTTGTGTTACTTAAGACCCTCCGAGATGTGAAAATAATGTTAATTAGCATGAACGTAATAACATGATTGACCATGTGATGTCATTTTGCCTTGATGTTGGCTTGCGAAAGTAGAATGCTTAGATGTGATCTGTATATGAGACGAGACACATAACCTGGCCAAGTAAAATGCCAAGTGCAATTCTGACTTAATATTATACGCATACTGAATTGAATACAGCCCCAGAATTCTAGTTCCAATTTAGAAGCTTTGAAAAAAGAAGATACAACTTATATGATTCATGATTCCCTATGGAAAGACTCAGGTACTAAAAGCTAGCTGTAAGCAGTTTAGAAAAGAGATATCTTATGCTGACGGCTGACGGTTGAAAGTGGAAAGCAGATATGAAGTTTGCATAGCTGACAGACAAAGAATCTTTACCAATTCCAGAAAGATGAAATGAAAAATTAAAGCTTTGAATGAGACAGTTGAGACCAATCACCAACATCTGTCTTGCTTTGTTGAATATATTAAATAGCTTTGAATAATCCTTTTATCGTATATTTGAAACAATACTTTTGTCATATATTCAACAATAAGCTTTGATAATATTGTATTTGTTATAATGTCTTTTCCTCCTTCATATCATTTGATCTATAAACCACTTGAGTGCCTCATACTTAGTTATTTTTGGTGACTGGTCTCTTTTCAAATATATGTACATTGAGATTTGAAATTAAAACTGAAATAAATGCTAACATGACATGAAAATGCATTGATCAAGACCATCAAGAGAGCTGAACTAAAAAGCTTTTGAAATTCCCGTAGACAATGTGCTTTTATTACACTAATAATTGGAGTTTATATAAAAAAAAATATATATGTAAAGCTGACATGAACCATAATGATAACTATCCGAAGATGATATCCCAATGCTTCAATTAAAATACACCATGATTGGTTGACGATGAGCCTGAGAATGACCATGAGAAATATAATCTTGAAAATGATCTGATCACTTTTATCGGTTCTCACCACTCAGAAAATTTCCAGTTCCTTCATTTCCTTTTCCTTTTTCTCCTGGAGGATTTTTGGTAGTGAGGGAGGGAGAAAGATTTACAGGTATAAAGTTAAAGTGGAAATATATAATTCTATCTGCCTACGTATCTCCTGTTCTCCATGATAGCCATCAACCACATCTTCTTGGCTTAGAGAGATTCTGTGCAAAGTGTCTTGTATGACCTATGACGTTAATCTCTTTAAATGACCATTGAGTAATGGTTGTTTCTTGTATCACTAACATTATGCTATTATCACGTTAAGAGATTTTCCATTTCGGGATGAAATAAATGGAATTAATTCATATGGGACACATTGCATGTACTGGCCTATAACCCACACATTAATGTAATCATTAACACGAGTACTGGCAACTCCAAATAATCAATATCAAATACACTTTCATGTAGTCGATACTATTGTATTTTCTAACTTAATAAAGTCACACTGGACTAGAAGCACTACCACAAATCCTCTCTAGCGCCATCTCAGGTCAGCTGTAGCAGTATGGTCCCGTAACCCGCTGCATTATTGGTTCTCGCATAGAGTCCTCTGGGTTATGCACTGTTGGCAAGTTGACCACGAGATGGCGCTGTGCAATAAACAGTGCGCTAGAGCAGAAAGTTCATCAGTTCGGTATGGCTTTAGCCGTGAACTATCCTGCCCACTGAATGTAACAACAACCCGACTACATATAACATGCATGATACATAATGAAAGGGTGACTTTGAAAGGGGCGGTAAAGAGAATTGGGAAAAAAAAGAAATGTCTACCATACTACTACACATGCATCACCACTAATATGAGAGTACAAATGTAGATGAATTAAAATAAGAAATCAAATTCTTGTGTATTTTGTTTTCACATGGAGTGGTACAGGAAATGCGGGAGCAGGCGAGGGGAATTAAAAAAAAAAGACTTATCACATTAAGGGAGTGATGATCGATGCACAAACCAAACATGGTGCAAGGGTGATGTCATGAAACAGTTGCTAAGTGTTTAATAATAATAACAAAAACCACAAAATCATTCATGAAATAGAAAAAGGGCCCCGTCTTACAAAGAGTTGTGATTGATTCGAATCGCAATTCTCCTACGTCCCAAGTGCACAGTTTGTGATTGAGTGATTCAAATCAACCGCAACTCAATACATGGGCCACTGGAGTGCAGTGATTTTTAAATATATGGATAATCACAGTCAATAAAACTGAAACAAAGATATAAAAATGCACAATTCATTAACCAAAAAATAATGTATTAATGTCTACAATTGATTATGCATGAAGGGGTGATCAATATTGGATTGGATTTGGGGAGTGGCGGGGCGGGGCTCAAAGGGCTTTTTAAGATGTCCGTTAGAGGGATGCAGGAACAAGTAAGTACATCTGTTGAGAGCCAACGGGCACAAACTCTGTGTCCGACTCTGATGGTCGCTCCTGACGCTTGCTCTACAATGTCTCACAAATTCAAAATTCTTGGTCGGTGTTTCAAATTCATATTACTATCCATTAGTCTTTGTTGGCATTGGTATCATTCTTGAGATGATGTCATCGTAGCTGGGAACAGGAAAGTCTTGAGGGTTGACAAGAACATTAACATAGACCCTGATAGATGGTGGAGGGGTATTCCACAGCTTAGTTCCAGGGACGTAAAATGCTCTTAAGGTCCAGGAACGTAGAATGCTCTTAAGGTCCAGGGACGTAGAATGCTCTTAAAGGCAGGCTTTATTACTTCAGCCAGAAGGGATTAGACCGCCCAGCGAGCCAGCGAGGTCACTGTGACAGGTGGCTATCTCATTAACTCAGCTCTCATTTAACATAAGAAAAAGAGGATCATGGGGGACCAACAGGCACCGATTTGGGAAGTTTTCTATATAGAGGGAGCAAGTAGCTACAAGTAGGACAGTGTGCCTTTAAGAGGCTTCTGGCTCTCAGCAGATGATTACAAGAGGGACAAAGGATTGATGGAAATTAGTTTTAGGAGAAGGCAGCAGGGATTATTAAAGGGAGAAGCATACCAGAAACATACATACATGTAGGTTGTATATACAGGAGGGGGGGGGGGGTGATCTTTCAAATGGGCAATTCATGATCTTCTTCAAGCAGCGGAACGTTCATTGGATGGGTGACATGACATTCACAAGGTTTTGACACTTACTCTATACTAAAATATGCAGGTATAGGTTCATGCTTGGGGTTGCAATTGGGTTTTATGTTTAGTCAGGGTTAGGGTTGAGTGTATTTATGAGGTTAAGAATTAGGTGGATCATAGCAGGACAACGACAGGGGGCAAATGTCGCGGGAGCACTGGAAGATAAATTTAGTCCAAAGACAAGACAGCTCCTTTCCTGGGTGGGGGGGGGGGGGGGATGCTTCTGATGAGGGGGTGGTAACATTTTCAAGGATGAGACATGGTTTAATGATTATTTACATAACAGGTTTATTTCCACTTATTTTGGTTCAACTCTTTCATCTCATTTACCCATTTCTTTTGGTGTACCGCAGGGTTCCATTTTGGGGCCTTTGCTTTTCATTATTTTCGTTAACGATTTAACTCAATATACACATTATTGTTCCATTCAACTTTACGCTGACGATACTGTTCTTTATTTTTCAGATTTTAATGTGGAAAGTGTTCAAAATAAACTAAATCATGACTTGTCATATATTTATAAATGGATGTGCAATAATAAGTTAACACTGAATTTTGATAAGACTGTATCCTTACTCATAGGCTCTAGACATATGTTAAGTAAATGTAATAAATTAAATGTATATATAAATAATATTGCAATACAACAGACTGACAGTGTAAAATATCTCGGGTTTATTATCGACAGCAAACTTAAGTGGGATGTCCATATAGATAAATTATGTAAGAGGGTTGGAAACCTAGTAAAATATTTGGCTAGACTACGTTATTTTATTAATGAGACGAATTTGAACTTGATATATAAAGCAATTATTTTACCCCTTTTTGACTATGCAGACATTTTAATCGATTCATGTGATAAAAAATATATTAAGAAACTGCAAACTCTCCAAAATCGCGCGGGCAGAATAATAATGAAAGTTAATCCATATGAACACATTTCTAACGCACAAATTCATTCACTTTTAAAATGGTCATCTCTCGAATCCAGGCGTAAGAAAAATCTTAATGTATTTGTCTATAAATCAGTCCATAATATGTTATCTCCCAGTATGAATGAAATGTTTCAACCCCCTTCTCATATTTATTCCCTCCGCAATTCCGGTAACTTTGTTCTCCCTAAACCTAGAACTGAATATTGTCGCAGAACTACCCAATACAGAAGCTCAATTCAATATAATACTCTTCCTCCTACCACTAAATTACTTCAAACTGTTCAAACATTCAAAAAGTATTTAAACAATACTATTCCAGACTTCTTGTAGCTGTATTTTTTTTTTTTTTTTTTTTTTTTTTTTTTTAAATAAATAATTTACTTGTCTAGCTTTCTCTCTTGTATAAATATCGTAAATATTTCTCTCATGTTTCTTGTTTTACTCGAATTTGTAATTATTATTGTAAGTTCTTATTTTGCTGTAAGTTTTCCTTACTTTTGTAATAACTATTTTCATGTTTTCTATTTCTATAGGGACCCCTCTGTAAACCAGCATTGTTATGCTAACAACGCTGAGTAGGGCCATCCCTCCGTCTTTCTTTTTTTATAAGTGTGTCTTTATGATTGTAAATATATATATATATAATTATGTTGATGTATTTTTTAAATGACGGAAAATAAATACAATACAATACAATACAAATGACTTGTGGACTTGGGCCATGCATGGGTACTTGGAACAGACGGTAAAGAGCGGGTCAGACAAGGATAACAAGACTTTTCATTAAAGGTAGACCCTATATAAACTGCCCTGTTATTAACATACATGAGCATACTCTCAGGTAAATACATACACAACATAGAAGGGGGTACCTTTAATTGAAAATATTTCGTTATCAGTGAGGTCTGACCAGCTCTTCAATCAGGGGCCTGTTTCATAAAACTTGTAATCTATAACAACTGCTAAATTCTATGACAAATTTGCTCTCAGCCAATCAGATGCCATGATTTCAGTAGCTTATAACAAGTAGCTTGTAACTTGTTATTGATACCAAGTTTTATGAAACAGGGCCCTGATCCACACATGACAAGAAACAAAGAGAGGGGGGTAAACCATGACCAGCGGGGGGTGGGTACCAATCCCCATGCAAGGGTGCATACTTACCCAAGAGGGTGGGGCCACTTACGGGTAGATAGCGGGTTATCACTTTAGTCACGGTATGGGTGACTACAACTGCACACGTACCATGGGGGTGGGGTGGAGGAAATGTAGGGAGGGGTAGGAAATACACAACAATGTGATGTAGGCTATAGTAATCTCTTCACAACATCAAGATGGCTGATTAAATTAAACGTCTCTAAAAAAGCTGAGTTTATTTCCGCGAATCCACAGCTGTTGGGGGAATGGGGGGGGGGGCAGATTATGGGGCGTAAATAAGTAACTCGATACAAATATAAATATGAAATTTGTATGAAGTATTGTTTAATCGCCTAATTAATCTTTTATCTGCGATCAGGGCTTTGTGTACAGGGAGATCGGAATGTTGACGCCCATAGTGTAAAATTTCTGGATGCTGCGCTGTAACCCTTTATCCTAATTTTATGAATGTGGTGTCAAAAGATGTCCTAAAGTCTTAATAGACATGAAAGCACAGGGTCAGAGAAAAAAATTCTGCAGAGCTATTGTGAAGAGAAAAAAATACAGGGAATGAAATTCACCCCCCCCCCCCATCCCCTCCATCCCATTTTAGGGTCAACCCATTAGATATGATGTGATTTTGGTATCAGACACACTTTCCATAGACTCCAACAAAAGGATTCACAGGGTTAGTATCCCACAGTTTAAATATCAATGGCACAGTATGAACAAAAATGTGTGTGGTTCAAGTTATTCTTTAACGCTCATTCACGCATGATGGAGCAAACTGGAGTTGTCAACTGAAAAACAGTTTTGAAAACATAAAACGTAAGACCATCTTATGGAAACATATCACACTTCTATCTTGTTGATAAATGTCAGTCATAAGCAACTTAGAAGCCATTAAAACACAAGAAAAACTAACACTTGTGTCAGTACGAACACTTATCTGCTAGGCTACCTGCATTCACATACGGGTGCAATGTAGCGGTAAAATAGCAAACAAAGCAAATTCAGCACAGCAAAAATCACAAGTACACACAAGCAATGCTGCAATCTATTCTTAAACAAAGAACTACAACAATGATGTACTTTCTATTGATGCATACACTTTTTAGGGCTTCAGTTAAGAATACAGTCCAAATAAAGAATGATGTTTTGGCCAGATCATGAGTACACAGCTGTATTAAATTTAACTCTTCACACAATTTTCATACGGAAATGTACTAGAGAAGAGCTTTTGTTTTTGTTTAGCTTTTGAAAGTTGTATTTGGAGACAGTTATGTATAATAATAATAGTGGGTTCTTGAAAGGAGTTTATGATTGTCAGATTTGGCATGTCTGGCGCTCCATAATTATTACCCCGGCTTTAGCATGGCTGCCATTTCAAGGAATATATTCCTGCCAGGTAATCATTTACCTCACCTGGGTGAAGTGTGGCAAATATAGATTAATGTCTTGCCAAAGGACATCAGTGATGCAGCTGCTGGTCCTGAACCACAAACCATGTGATCCATAGCCCTGTGACGTTACCACTAGCCCATGACACCTCCACATATATGTGTGCATCGATAGATGTAACCCACACATGCTCCAGTCACATTTGTTCCTTCATCAACTTCCAACCCTTATCAAACTCAGAACATCAAACCTGTACCAAGCATAGTGGCATCCTCCCGTCTCAAGAGACAATGGATTTCGCGTCTATGAAGTCAGTCTGGTTCGTGGTTTACTTGCAGCTCCTGCTGGGGCTGTACAATCCTAATCTGGAAGGCCACACTCGGACCAAACACTTGACCTAACCTAACCGTAACACCAACCTTCACCCTTCACTGACCTATGACCCAACTCTAACCCTACGTGTCTGATGAAATAAAGAATGAGGGACATGTCGCAGAACAAGAGTTTGTCGGAACAAGTGCCTCCAGAGCAAATGTCACTGGAGCAAGTGCCTCTACAGCAAACTGTGCTGAAGCTTATCAAAGTCACTGAAGCAAATGAAAAGTCACCAAACAGAAAAGGGAAATCATGGCAACACTGTTACTGACTTGTGCATACCGTCGCAGCAGGATATGTTTCTTACCAATGTTATCCCGGGGTAAAGCTGGTCCGGAGTCGATGCTGCCCCCGTAGCCTACGGTGTTACAGAGGGGTGGGGCCCACCCTTGGTTGCAGTGACAGTGACTCTTACTATTGCACACCTGGCAGAACAAACAAAAATACATGCACGTGTATGAGCCGAGAAATTTAAATAATAATAATAGTCACATTTGTATAGCGCTTAATGCCACGTTTCTAAGTGGTTCATGTGGTAATTATTAGTGCTGTAGTCAAACGTTTAACCGTCCGGTATCCGACCGCCCATGGCGGATTCCGTTTTCAATTGGACGGTTTCGTTTTCCCGATTTTTTTTTTTTTTTTTTTAATTTTTTTTTTTTTTAATTTTTTTTATATAATTTTTTTTTTTTTTAATTTTTTTTTTTAAAGTTTCGATTTATGCCCCTCCACCTGGCACTATGCCTGGCAATGTCTCCCAGCTCAGTAATCTGTGTGTTGACTCACCACTCTAAAACTAGAACAACACTCCAATTTGTCTGTCATCTTGGTTTGAAAGTAATCTTTGTAATAGATCTCATCATCTCAATATGTAGTTTATAATAATAATTCATCCAACTTTTACACAAGGTTCTGTCCTAGGTCCTCTACTGTTTTTAATTTATATTAATGATCTTACACATTCTTCTAAAAACAACATTGTTACTATTATTTGTGACAATTTCACAAGCACAAATCGGCCCCTTTAAATGCACCTCGCAGTTAAATGAAAGTTGCCGACAGAGTCGTTTAACCGAAAACCGTCCGGTTTTGACTGGCGGTTAAACGGAATTGGAGATATCCGTGATGTTACAGCACTAGTAATTATTATTACCCCTGTCATTGAATTCAATTGCTAATTCGCACATGACACTGCACATGTTCCACTCCCTGGGGAGTATTCCAGCCAGAAGCCATTTAACAAGTGCACACATGCCAACCCAACCGCATTAACATTCGCATCCTATAGGGTACCCATTGAACACCTGGGTGGAGAGTGGAGAATGTAGATGACTGTATTGTTGGACTTGAATTGCAAACCATGTGATTCACAGTCCGGCAATGTTTCCATCAGACCACGACACCTCTACAACGTACAACATAAAAGCGTACAAAGCTCAAGGTGCAATTCAATATCATTTTTAAATCATCATTTCAACAGCTTTTCCTTTACATTATTTATTTTAATTTTTTCAGGTATTTGCATATTTTATATTTGAAGTCAATATACAGTATAATGAATCCTACATAAACTTCTAATCTACACCTGTATTAAATGAACTAAACATTGTATGCAGGACTCGTGAACCTCATACTCACTCCATTGCCATTGCAGTTATAAGGGCAGGGTCTGATCCCAACACCACTGATGTTTTGACATTGGAAGTTCAAACATATCTGATTGGACAAAAAGACAGAGAAACAAGAGAATGTGATAATAAAGCAGCAAATGAAGTTTTTGAGATATATATATACCACAAAGACAGATAATTTGATCAACTATTTACTCTCTAGAAAAAAAATAGAAAAAGAAAACCAAGAACACTATCCATTTTGCTGGAGGGCATTTGGACGTTTCACAGTGGCCAGTTTCTTGAAACCATCATTAGTCTAAGTTCGTGGACATCCCATTGAAACATGTGTTAATTCTATAACACACGTTTCAATGAGGCGTCTTAGAAGTTACTTATAACGGTTTTGAGAAACGGCCCCAGGTGCCCATATGCAGATCCCACCACAATAACATAAAAATAACTTTTCACAGTAGTATGTAATCTTCAATAAGAATTGATAGTGATTTTACAGAAGAAAATGCACTTAAGTATTTGTTTGTAATTATAAGCAATCTATATACTATTTGAATACTTTGTGAACTGGAAAAGAAAAAATAAAATACTGGAAGAAAATAAATAACATTAAAACGAGTAGAACTATATGGAAATGAACATACTTTTCCCTCAGCACAACTGGTTCCCTCAGCCACATAGCCTGGATCAAGAACGTCCGCTCCAAAGTTAAGAGAGACCGTTTTACAGATGTGAACTTGATTGTTGGAATCATAGACCCGTGCTGGAGCGATGGTGGCGATGCTGGATAGGACGGGTCTGGCGGGTACGTTCTCACACATCAGACGTCCACACCTCATGTTCCTAGGAGGATGAGGTAAGGAAGAGGATTTCTTTATAAACATTCAACTTAATGATTAACATTTAATTGAGGAAAAGCTACCCAATCCCTTTAAAGGGATCCAGTAACTTTGTCTCAGATTCTGAAACAAAATCCTGGATTTAGCTCATGTTGCAATTATCAACCTTTAGGTCAGTCAGGAACCCCATGACTTTTATAAGCTGATCGCCTGTCTGATTATCAAGATATTTATGATTGGAAATCGAAATCAAATTTTGCGTTTTCCTAACAGTTTTTATAACACTACAGTCTATTGGGAAAAAGGAATATGTTAAAACCAGTCACTCAAATTTTTTTACTTTTTGAGGCACTTCTCGATCATTTTGAAGCGCAAATTTTTTACGGCTTCAATATTCCAACATATCACTGACACTGATAACACGTAGGGCCGTGCATCTCAGATTTAACATTGTAAAACGATGCCTTTAAAAAATGCATGGTGAAAAGTAAGACCATACAATTGCACTGTATGTGAGTCATGCCACATTGTGAATCTCAATCCCAACTCCTAATCTCACTCTTGTTTTTACCACTTTCAACATGTACAATAAGATTACTTACTCAGGTTCACAAGCCTTGTAGCACTTTCCATCAGGAGCAGTTCTAACAGAAAATAAATAATTGGACAGTTCAAAAAAACATTCATAAATATTGGTGTCTGTCTGTCTGACCAGTGAATGTATGTTTAAATCTAACATAAAATGCAGCCTCAAAAATAAAGATGAATTAACTTTAAAAATTATTTTAAGAAGAATATTAGATCTTCTTGTTCATACCAAGCCAACAAATGTAAAAGAAATGTTATTTCTAATTTATCGGTAGACGAAAAGAAAGTCCATCGACCATCATCTTTCTCTTATCTTATAGATGATATTATCGAAATTATTCAACACTCAATACTAATGACATCTTTTGAAGAGAGAGATTTCAGAATAATCACATCAAGTTTGATCTTTGATAATGCTGAAAGATAAAAAAAAAGTGTAAACCTTATAAGAAAACAATTCAGCTCCCCACAAATTATTAAATTTTTTTTTATGGTACTTAATACTAATGGGACCAACAAATGGGGCCAGTCACCACGAAATGTGTCCAGTGTCGCATTAGGCTCAATCGTAGTAATAGCATGTATAGTGTGTATGTACTGAAAATTGACCCACCTACCACATTTAAGGTTTTTCCCCAAATCGACTTATTATTTCTTTGTTTGTTGAAAGTTTCATTGAAATCGAATGATGGGAAGTGTGTTGTTGCTATGTTGTTGTTGTTGACCAGACTATAATATGTTACGCATCATTAACTTTACACCTAATTATCTCAAAACTGGGTAATCCCATTGTTATAAAGTCCAATTAGGTTTTTGTTCATATTTCTGGATTTAATTTATCAATTTTAATGTGTGACCCCTTAATTTAAAGCTTACTTAATGTAGATTCATATAATACTTAAAAACAGGAATAAAATTTTTGACCAACTGGACTCATTTCGTGGTGACAGGCCCCAAATGTGGGTACAAATTAAATACATATATAGGAAAGTCCAACTTAAACCTAGCCCAAGATAAACACAACATGAAAAGTCCTGAAACAAAATCTGACAGTAGTATGAAATATAAAAGAAACATCTTTTTCTTACGACGTTGGGCATGGTCTAACGTCCGTCTCTCCACAGCTTCCAAAATGGCTGCCTTGCTCGTTCAGAGCGTAACACTCATCAACCCCCGCCCTCACAGCTAGAAAAAAAAAAAAATATTGCCATCAATGATGAGAACCAAATTGCCTCCTTTACGGGCATGTCCAGACTTTTCTTATATCTTTGTCTTGGTGTACATATTAGCTTTAAGTTTGCAAGATATTTAGCATTTATCTATTAGCAGTTATCTACATTTCATTTTGGAGGTATTAGCAAACAAAACACTGATAACCTAATGGCTTCGCTTCATACGAAGAAGTGCCAAAGTAACCAGATCAAGACCACACTTGAAAGAAATAGTAATCTTATAACCTGACATGTACATTGATTAGTTAAATTAACTCAACCCTGAAATGCTGTAAAATGTTTCTTGTTCCTTTCGAGAGTATTAAAAACAAAATGATATTGTTTCATATTTGGGATACGGCATCTAAAACACCTTATACATGCAATCTTTATAAAGCTTTAAAGATCCTGCCCAAACATCAATTCAAAATTTTAAGCATGCTAGCTTTAGTAATTGATCACTATCATTCAGATATGTGATATAATAACAAATTGATTCATTCTGTAACCTATTTTCATCAAAACCTCACTAACTTTGTTGTGGTAAAGATATGATTTACAAGATGAATGCATTAAAAAGGAAGGGGCTATATACTTACGTGATCTTTGAATACCCCATACTTCTTCACATTGCTGTTGGTAGCTATGGCATTGCCCGTCATAGCAGAGAGAATCAGAGTTTCTCCGATCACACTTCTCTCCGTTCTGGAGGTAAACGTTACCCGGGCACTGGCAAAATGGAATGAAACATAATGCAAATATTTCCACATTCAGTAAACGATTGAATTATTCATATCCTTAGCAAGTTTAGTAATTTTTTCAATAAGTGAAAAATTGATTTGTCCCCATTTATGGAATGTTACACATTAAAGCTTACATCTAAAAGAATTCAATGAAGGCCCTAGTTGAACCAGTCCACCTTTCATTCTTGAGTTAGCTGTATAGTGTTAGGTTCTCAACAAATTTACAAGAGATTTAAACAACATACTGATACACATCAGATTGTATACATACTCTTCCCATCCAAACGCTAGTCCAATGTTCACTTAACAAAGCAACAACGGATGTATGGCAAGTGAACTCCACACAGTACAAGTAAATTAAATAATTCATCATTTCAGAAAACTTGGAGGTGACCATCTTAAATATGGATACATTGATAAATTGTCTCTCAAACTCTTGCATTATCAAATGCCCAAAGGCTATAAGACACACTCCTGTAAGGGCTCTCTCGCTTGTTTTTAATATATTTTTCAAATGATCGACACAAGTCTTAAAGCCACAGCTGGAGACATATCCTTTCTATTTATACCTCATGATATTTCTTGGCTTTTATAACTCTTTGATTGGCTAAAGAGACATATGTCCTGCAGGACACACTGCAAAGAATTGCCGTATATATTGTTTGGCCCAAAGCTGAAGATAGAAGTCGGCTAGTATTGGAACAAATTTCACCGGCGCATGTGTCATAACCTCTCTTGTCCCGGTTGCATAAAACTTACCATTGGGCCCCGTCTTACAAAGAGTTGATATCAATTGCAACTTATTTGCGATCGATCTCAATCGCCACTATGTACATAAGAGATATGAGACTGCTAACTTGCGATTGATTTGAGGACTTGCAATTGATTTTGATCAATCGCAACTCTTTGTAACACAGGGCCCAGATTGTAACTTTGCCATTGATATTGACTACCATGGCAACATCACTCAACAGTCAATCAAATCAAGGTTTCCATGGAAGTTACCATCAATGCTAAGTCTTATGCAACGGGGTCCTGATTAGCGAGAGCCACCTGGGCCCGTTGCATAAAACTTACAATTGATGGTAACTTTGCCATCAATGGCAACTACCATGGTAACAGGGCTCAACAGCCAATCAAAATCAAGGTTTCCATGGTAGTTAATTACCAATGATGGCAAAGTTACCATCAATGGTAAATTTTGTGCAACAGGGCCACCTGCTCCGAAAAGTGAGGACATGGTACTTACCTCAGCAGAAGTTCCGGTGCAGTACTCTGGTAGATCACATGGATTGTATTTATCCCTGCACAGGGTACCAGCTGATAACATCTGACACTCACTATCGCAGCATTCTCCTTCAGCACACGTAGCATTCACATGGAACCTACAGGTCTCGGGTACGCAGCATTTAGTATCACATTCCTGTAAAGAGATTGTAGTGGATAGTAGTGGATATTTTACACGACTGCTAAGAAAGCATGAATGCTTGTTAGTAAACAACCAGAGGACCGACCAATTAAGGTCCTCTCCAAGGGACGTGGTAATGAGGATTAATGCCTTACCAAAGAGCAATAGCGCATCGACTTGGTTTCGAACCCGGGTCACCGGATTACGAGACCATTGCTCTACCCACTCAGCTATCATGCCTCCTCTGAAGGACGGAGGGGCATGACATGTAGAAGTGTCATAGTCGAGTGGTTAAACGACTTGACTTGATTTCAAAGGACGTGGGTCCGATCTCTGACATAGCACTTATGTCCTTTGGCAAGACTTTAATTTACATTTGCCACTCCATACCCAGGAGAGAAATGAGGACCCAGTAGGTTGAATTTGTGATAGTAATTGCCTATAGATGCCCTCCCGTTGTCCATATGTGTGGAAATACTCCCCAGCGGGTGGAGGTAGTGCACATTGTATAGAATGAATCCAATAACCAGTGTAGTAACTGAAGACCCATCTCTTTCCATATCGCTAGTCATTTTGTGTGTCTTTTTCCTGTTTTTGTTTTTTTACATTGTAAGCTCTATGTAGCTTCTTAGTGTATACAGCACAGTATAGATGACCATTATTATCATTACTATTATATCACATACACTTGGCATGAAACAATTCAATCTTTTTAACTATCAATCTTTACCTTACTTTAAGTTTCTCTTCGACAGTTTTTCTCACTGAAATGTGTGCTAATTAAACCTGCGTATCTTGATCATTTGCCCTTAACACTGTTCTTTGTATCTCTCTTGAATGGCTTTATATAATGTTTTTATATATATATTATACAGTTATTGACTGGCAAGGGGTGTAATATAACATTCTTTGGACCTGAAGGGAGTTATATTTCCCAAGTGGTTATATTTTCCCGAAGCGTGCAGCGCTGAGGGAAAATATAACTCCCTTCAGGTCCAAAGAATGTTATATACCCCCTGCCAGTCCATAACTGTTATATTAGATAGCCTTGGTTTTTTTTTGTGGGGGGGGGGGGGGGGGTCCATTTTTTTTCCCCAAAAAATTTTTATTTTTTTCGGGGACAATCAAAATTACGGAAAAATAATCTGTCGAGACAGTTCAAGAAAAAAAAACAACTTAAAAACAAAAAATTATACAAAAATTGGGGGAAAAAAAAAATTGAAAAAAAAAATTCTTACCCCAAAAAAACATTTTTTGGGAAAAAAAGAAAATGTGGAAAAATAATTTTCAAGGGTAAAAAAAATCAACAACAAAAAATTTGGGAAAAAAAAAAATGACCCTCTGTAATGGTGTTATGTGTGTAATTAGTGAAATACAGTCCTCAAGAGGGCGACATGCATTGATTAAAAATATATTCATTTCACCAGCTGGTTAATATAACACCGAAAAGTGACCGGCCAGGAAAATATAACAATTTGAATCCTCGCAATTGATATCACGTGACGAGCTCTGGACCAATCACATCTCGGTATCTGTCTAAGCTATCTAATATATATATCTATATATATTTGTGTCAATGTATCAGGGTTCTTACATCAGGTGTTCCACAGTCACACTCCTCTCCCGGTTCTAAGAACTTGTTCCCACACACCGGTCCTCCGAAGAACTCTTTCGGGTAGTCTAGGAGACACACCCCGTACCCCTTTTGAAGCACCTCCTGCATAGTGTCAAAAGTACAGCTAGAAAACTGGGTGGAAGGAGGTTCTCTGCAATTTAAAAAGAAAGAAAGCTTTATAATATTGATAATCACAATTAAAATGGTGAAGGGATATTGAACAATTTTGTGATTATATATATATATATATATATATAAAAGTGCTCACAAGCCGAAAGCTCGTAATAAAATTGTAAAGTACAGCTACGTCTCACGTTCCTAGACCATTTTCTTCATGCCTATATATATATATATACAGTCAAACCTGCTTTAGTGACCACCTGTATAGAAAGACCACCTGTCTACAAAGACCACATTTTTTGTTTCCCTTGAAAATGGTTTCTCATTGAAACATGTACTAAATGACCCTGTATATAAAGACCACCTGCCTATAAGGACCACTTTTCTTGTCTCCATGTGTGGTCTTCATAGACAAGTTTCACTGTATACATAATTTGTTGTTTAAAGGAGAGCATTTTCTTTAAGATAATCTTGAGTTCTGGTAACAGTTTGATATATAGGATTAGAGGTCGTGGTCTAGTGGGTACACTGTTTGTCACCAGGCTATGGATCAGAAGGTTCCCAGTTCAATCCCACAGCTGCAGCACTCATGTCCTTTTGGCAAGAACATTAACCTACATATGTTGCTCTCTACAGGGATGGGGTCAATGGGTACTGACAGAAATTAATTACTTCACAAAAGTTTGCCCTCACAGTGACCATATGGTAGGAACAATCCCCAGGGAGTGGAAATGGTGCACACTGTGCATGAACGAATCCTATGACCAGGGTAATAATGATATCTGTAAAGCACCTACATATATAAAGCACAAACAAATCCAGAATTCTTAATTTTATTTGCAATTTGCAAAAAGTTTAATTCATTTCTTGTATTTTAATACTGACAAAAATGAACATGAGGTCTAATAGTTTATACTGGTTGTCATGGTTACTCACCCTAGTATATCATCCATGATACAAGACTTATCAGGGCAGGAGCATGTCTGAGCATTGTGATGAAAACCAAAGTTATGCCCCATCTCATGAGTAAGGATTACAGCCTGTTTGGATAGCTCGAGCTCAATGTCCTACAAGAGAGTGGGACAGATAAAGTGCGTTGTTTGACAATTTATTTCACCTGCAACTATTTTTTTTAATTTGTTATATAAATATGATGCTATTGACAATATCAGTGTAACAATGACTGTTGAAATTAAAATGGTTTCAATTGTACTATCACTATAATCATCATTAACCATCATCATCATCATCATTATCATCACCATCATCATCATCACCATCATCACCATCATCACCATCACCATCACCATCATCATCTTCATCACCATCACCATCATCATCATCATCACCATCATCTTCATCACTGTTACAATAAATACTGGAGAAGGGCCTGCAATGAATGCAGAATAGCAATCAACAAAACTATAATAATGACTAAATGTACATGTCTTTATCACTTTAAAGACTAACCATAATTGCAATGACCACACAGATACATAAAGTACATGTATATGCTAATGCACTTTGATTGATAATCTGGAATGTGCTATAAGCAGCAGTCATGATTAACACTACTACCACATTCATTAGCACAATTGTTTCTTCATTCTCCTTTGACTATTGTAAAAGGTACAGACAAGTTTTGGAAACGCCCCCTCTCAAAAAAAATGAAATGGAAGCTCTTATTACCAATCATGTGAAAGAATATGCTTCGATGATACAAATTTTGCCGGGAAACCGCCTACTAATTGATATATTTGGTAAATTATCATATCTATCCAGACCGGATAGATATCGCGCACGTGTGGCATAGTCCCATATACATCTTTCTGTGTACAGTGCTTGTAACTTTACCAAGACTGGGCCCAATTTCTTACCATTTCCAGAACCTTGCAATACACACCAATACTTATATGCTAGATGATCAACCTTTTCTGATCGATTCCACAACGTTTCTTTCACAACGCAATCGCATGACCAGAACTGGTCTATACCTTTAAAAGATATGACTTACTGTGTTAACTCCACATGACTTGTCTTCGGTGCACATTTTCCCATGCTCAGCCATACCAACAATGCTGTCTTGGAAAGGTATTCCTCTACAAGAACAAATGTGATAATTCATATGTTTTTACTTGTTTTCATATCATAGAAAGCTACTAGCCACAGGTTTCATCTTCAATTTTGAAAGTTGCTTGCAAGATGTTTTTCTTTTCTTCTTTTAAATCCTCCACTCTCTCTTTCTTCGCAGCCCTTCTTTATAACTGGTTTGAAAATTATGAGCTTTGAAATATTGAACAGAAATTAAAGCCTCACTGTCCTACTTGTAGCTACTTGCTCCCTCTATATAGAAAACTTCCCAAATCGGTGCCTGTTGTTCCCCCCATGATCCTCTTTTTCTTATGTTAGTTGAGAGCCAAGTTAATGAGATAGCCACCTGTAAGTGACCTTGCTGTGTGGTCTAATCCCTTCTGGCCCAGTAGTATTGATGGTCTTTAAAATATAATAGATTGCAACATAATCTTTGGATTGCTTTAAAATTGATCCAATAAAATCAAAATTCACATTTTAAAAAGGACAATCAAATCAAAGATTTTACAATTGCCAAACAACTCTAATAAAAATAAAAAATAATATTTAATTTTTATGATAGCGCTTAATACAAATGTCTCTTAGCGCTTTACAAATATACTATAACTCTACCGATTCATTGTCTCTTTTCTTTACCGGAGTTTTTTGTTTTTCTTCCAAATTTTCCTTTGTTTCTTGAGGATTACAAGTATAACATGCCACTATGCAGAAAGAAAAAATATGAAAAATCTAAGGATGAAAAATTAGCCATTCCGAACATTGGCCCACATTTTGTGGTTTGGCTCAGTGATTTTTTCATTCTTTCAGACGACAAAAACAGAAGAGCAGAAAAAGCATTTAGCAACAAAAAAAAGGATATTAAAAAAGGAAGATGAAGAACAATAATCTGCCAACAATGTGTCCATTTTTTTTGCATTACTATATGGTGTCAGATGTAAGGGATTTGTAAAAGAAAATTTCAGGTCAGGTACTTAAATTGACAACATGGACAAGAGTGTAAAATCCCTTTTTATCCAAACAAATCAGTGCCGTTTTAAGTCTTTCGACCATTCCTTTCCATGTTTTCTATAGATATAATATACTTTATATCAGGACATTAAAGCAATGAAAGAAAAAAGAGAAGTGTTGCCAATTTGAAGATGAGAACTTATTAATATTCTATAAAAGATTTGATAACCTCAATCAAACATTAGGTATGTCTTCATCAGCTCGAGATTGCCAAATAGCCCACTATTTCTGATTGGGAAATAATCCTGAAGTTACAAATCGCGCCTTCATCAGCTCGAGACTGGAGCTCCAGAAATTAGCTCAAGATATTTTGCTCAGCGTTCGCGCATAGTGTGAGTCTTCGGGCTGGTCAAGACGCACCGGACAAATAGCGGGATATTTTGCAAAATAGCCTGAGATATCTTGGGATGATTATCTCAACCAAATATCCAGCTAATTAACTGGATAATTGAAATAGCGGGATATTTGGCAATCTTGAGCTGATGAGGACAGGCCTATTGTCATGTTTCTTACGTGATGAGCTGAGCATTGTCATTATGCATCCTTGGAGAGTACAACTCTTTCCTCCAGATCTGGAATCTTCCGAGGTTTGCAGTAGCATCATGGGTAATCTCTATCTGCGGACTCGTCCAAACTTCCACGTTAACCAGGGCTATCCTGACGTTCAGTGCTCTGTAAAGCTGCATTCAAGAAATCAGTTTGATTTAGTACATTTGCAGTAACTAGAATTAAAAGGGATTGAATCTGTACTTGAAATGTGGCTTCAAAAGAAGGCTTCTTCTCATACACATGTCATTCTGTAACTGAAGGATTAAACTTGTGTCAGGCCAACAGGACACTGACTTCTCCATCTCTAAAGTTCCTACCAATTCCATCATTTAAAGCCTGTCTGCACTACTTGTAGCTTCATGCGCCCTCTATATAGCAAACAATGCCTAAGCGGTTACCATTGGTCCCCCATGATCCCCTTTTTCTTATGTTAATTGAGAGCTGATTTGATGAGATAACAACCTCACCTGTCAGTGACCACAAAGAGAGGTCTAATTCCTCCTGGTCAAACTAGTGCAGACAGGCTTTAAAATAACCAGATATCACACATCATATTTACCATATCCATAGCATTTACAAGTTGTTTGCTTCTCTCTTGTACAGCCGCTATACCTCCTCGTAGCCGGAACTGCATGACAAAAACAAAATTATGTCAATATAGAATGAAACTGTAAAGAAGTGCATATTTTAGCAGTAACAAGTTTGTACAGGTATTTTAACTTGAATGTTTGGCTAATTACTAGTCATGAAACATAAATATTAAGGTTAAAATCAGCTAATGATATAAAATCAGTGTAAATCACTGAGTTTGGCTAATTACTAGTCATGAAACATAAATATTAAGGTTAAAATCAGCTAATGATATAAAATCAGTGTAAATCACTGAGTTTGCAATCTCAGTGTAAATCACTGAGTTTGCTAAAAAGAATTACAACTATAATCAGCACTGAATTGTTCTTCCAACTTTGTTACATTGATATATGTTCAAAGGTTTTGAGATAAGATAACATGATAAGGGCTGTTATAAATGACATCATTTAACGTCTTATAAATGTTGATTGATTAAAACTGTTGTAGATTCCATCTTCAAAACAATTCATTCATTGATGACCTATATAATTAATCAATGTGATTTTACCAACTATAAGTGTAGAATTTCTTCTTTCTAAACTCTAATTTTATGCTTAGAGGGTTATACATAGAGGAATCTCAATAGGAGAAATCTTGTATCAAAAAGTTGCCAATTTGATACCAGTGCATGCATTAGGCCCTTGATTACATCTTCAGACACGTATTTGTGGCTCTGAGTAAAAATTTGAATAGTGGAGTATGATTGTTAAATGATTCTAGGTATGAGGATGCAATTGTATGCTTGGAAATCACTTAACAATCTCACTCCCATATTTAAGTTTTATTCGGAGCCACAAATACGTGTAACAGGGACATCAAAAATGTCACAAAGTGGGCCCCTAACTTATGGATTACCCAAATGTGAATAAGCAGTAGAATCCAACAACTTGTAATAGTCACTTCTTTATCGTTCAACAAATTATCAATTTAGAACAATCGTCCTTTATTTTTAAAAAGAGGAAATTATATTGTATATTAATGTACTTTATAAGTTTTGTTTGCTTTGCATTACTCACCTCAGCATCATCATTGACGATGGCTAATTCAACGTATTTAGTCTCGGATAAGATATCCCTACGGTGGCGCTGTTTACTTGAAATGTCCGGCAGTTCTCCAACAGATTCATACTTCATATCCATCACTGTCATAAAAAGGATGGTATAAAGTGGTTAGTATCTCTTTTGACAGATAAATAACTTCACATTTCTGGTTGACCTCGATTTTTTTTTTAAAGGCCCCCAAAAATGTGACTTATTCTGGTACTTTTGTTTTTACAAGACATAAATAATCAGATCAGGACTCAACACTAAAAATCAAACCTGTAAATTATTCATTCCTGATAATAAGCGGGGGGGGGGGGGGGGGGGGGGGTGAGAATCCTGAGAGTTATCAGTGAATGCAGTTTCACATGAGATTCAACTTGATTCAATATTAGAAAAAATAGAAATATACATTCAATACAGGTGCATAGTAGAATTCATTTTTCATGTGATTAATATTATCACTTTGTTAACACAGACTGGTTTTGAAAATAATATTGAATCTGAATGCATCTATGGTCCCATGAGCAAGACAAAGACTAGAAATGCATTCCCCAGAGAGAGGCCACCCTGTCGAAACCTGTAACAAGAATTAGCATTAGTGGGACTACATGAGTGACATTCCTATACCTAATACCAGTAAACATGACCTCATTTTGATGGTCTGAGAAAGAGCTTGAATAAATCTAATTTAGATTCAAGTTTCAACAACATGTTCTTCCTGTCTAACTCAATTCAAGGTTTTCTTACTCACGATCTTAGACCATGTTCTCTTGTAGTTGGTCTGAGAAAGAGCTTGAATAAAATCTAATTTATATTCTACTTTCAACAACATTCATGTCTTATCCAGATGAGTTCAGTTAGGGCATTCCTGCACATGATGAAAGAAAATTTGACCTCATGTTGAAAGGGGTCTGAGAAAGAGCTTTGATAAATCCAATTTACATCTATGCTTCATCAACATTCTTGGCCTGTCTGGTGAAATTAAAGGTCTGCGCGTGTATGACAGTCATGGTTCAACAAGAATAATCTTGGGGTTTGGGGGCTTTGGATGTATTACCATAAAGTGATAATTCTCAAGGGAAGTCTGAATAGAAAGTTTAGAAACCAATATAGCCAAGTTGTATTTCCTCTTTAGTGGACTGTGATTTTCTTATTACAAGTGAAAACATATTCAGGAACTTTTTTCTCTTTAATTCACAAAGAAGCATTGATTACTATGAAGGTGGTTTATATTCACAAATTAAGAATATGAGACAATGAAAGTGGAACAATAATCAAATGTTATGATAACTTGCTCATTAGAAACTATCAAACACGATACTTTTCTTGAAACAATATACATATACATATACAAGTTGTATACATTAAACAATTGTTAAAATTCATTACACAATGTATCTTCTGGGAGTGTGTCTTTCCAGGCACAGTGATTTATCCTTGGTATCCTTTACAAATTTAGATCAATTATACAACTGTAGAGATATATATCACCTCAGATAAACACTAAAGCCCTGGCCCAATCAAGGTTGAGAACTGTTCCAAAGTCTGACCTTTCCCTGGCCACAATGCCACTTCTCACAGATGAAAGCAAAAAGTCATGGTCTGAATCTATGGCACAATGTTGCCATGTACAGTAGTTTGCTTAAAACACATCGACACACCTTTATACCGTATAGTCAAACCTGCTTTAGTGACCACCTGTATAGAAAGATCACCTGTCTACAGAGACCAAATTGTTTGTTTCCCTTGAAAATGGTTTCTCATTGAAACATGTACTTATGGAACCTGTACATGAATATCACCTGCCTATAAAGACCACTTTTCTTGTCTCCCTTGGGTGGTCTTCATAGACAGGTTTCGCTGTACAATGTTTATTTGGAGCCACAATAGTTTTACTTCTACACAGATTTAAGACGCTTGAGGCTCGACTCAAATGATATCAATGGCTAATTAAACACAATACAAAGGACCACTTCTCACCCAATTTCTCTCCATTGCTAACTACATCCTTCTGATGATAAACAACATGTTGCCTTGGCGACCCCTCCAGAGGTTCTACTGCCAAAGCCTCCCCATCTACATGCACCATACCACTGTAAATACAAAAACAAAGAAAAAATATCTTCAATGATTGATTTATCAAAGGGAATAGGGTACTACATAAAATCATTCTCTGATTTTAACACTGTGAATAAAAACAGACACTTCTATATATCTATTGTATCTTCATCACCATGATAGCGAGGTGTGGCGTTCAAGGTATATTCAAGGTATATAAAGGCAATTTAGCACTGGGAAACCAACCAACCAAGTGCCTTGGAAATTCACAAAAGTGTTTTGGTTAACGACAAAAACTATACTGAAGGAGAGAGTTGGAGAAGAGAAAGATAGAGGCAGAAAAGATGATGAAGAGAGTGCAAGAAAGAAAAAGAAAAAAAGAAAGAGAGAGATGAAGAGTAAAAACTGTATTAATAATTGTCGAGGTCATGTGAGTAACCAAGTATTTAAAATGTTCAGCACTGTGAGATGCTTATCTTCATTAGACCTGAAAACCTGAGGGTTCTCCTCTTATAAGCATATGGTGATGAGAAAGAGACACAGGCAGACTGAGAAAGAGACACTAAAAGATAGAACGTATAATAAAAATGGAGAAATGGAGAGAGAACATCAGAAAGAGGCAGGAGGAAGAAAAGGAAGAGAGGGAGTTAGGTAGGGCTAAAGAGAGAAACAAAAAAAAAGTATGACCTAATGTTATTGAGATTATTGCATAAGTCACAAAGTCCCTAAAATATTCATTTTTTTGAGATGCCCATCTTCATTAGATATGAACACAGTAGATTTACAGAATCTCTTCTTGCATGTACACGGAGATGGGATAGACATTCCCTTAATAAATGGAACATGATTTATAAGAGCACTGAATTACTTAACCAAATCAACAAAAAGGCCTCAAATATGGAGATGGGATAGACGTTCTCCAAATAAATGGAACATGATTCATAAAAACGCTGAATTACTTAACCAAATCAACAAAAAGGCCTCAAATATGGAGATGGGATAGACATTCTCCAAATAAATGGAACATGATTCATAAAAACGCTGAATTACTTAACCAAATCATCACAATGGCCTCGGGATAACAAATCTATCTGGCGAAAAAGCATTTTTGACAAAATAATGTAGTTTCAAGGTCTGATGTCAATATAATGGTGCTCATGACATGTCACACCGAAGGGAGTTGATTATATTGGACTCCACAAAACATGACATTGAATAGTAAAATATGGTTCAAAAGTTTCGATCAAATTCTAGTTATTTGTGAAACATGAGAGCATTCTTTTTAGTAATCCTTATCGTATGTATTGCGTTTTTGATATCCTTTAGTACAAGAATTTCATAAAAAGTAAGAAAGCTCACTTTTTTTCAGCTTAAAGCTATAGTTGAGCTAGGTCTGGTCATGTGATTCATTGTAAAAGAAACTGTGTGGAATTAAGCAACTGGAAAAGGCTGATTATTTTAGGAATTGGTGTATGTTTGTATGTATGTATGTTGAGTTTTGGAATGATCATATGAAAAGCAATAATCTTGCTAAAACCACATGGATTGCACCTAAAAATTGATGTGTGGGACTACACATTAATATTTGGACCAAACTTTATAACTATTTCCTATCCTTTTTTTTAATATGATGACACTAGCATCGCAATCCATTTAGGGAATATTATTTTCTACGATAATATTCTTCCTAGCTGACATAGAAACTATGAGGAAGCTCCCAAATATATTTTTTATCTTTCCCAGAACGCAACCTTCTCTTTAACCAGTACTCTACTTTCATTTCTCTTTAAGTTAATGAAGACACTACTTTAGATCCCAGTGTAGATTCAATACAAGGTCACATCATGTCACATGAGAAAACTATCAGTTTGAAAGGACACACAAGCAGCATGTCATTGAAGGAAGGTCTTCTCATTCATTCTAAGGGTTTGTTCACATTAGTTTCAAATCATTTTTTCAGTACTTCTTACAGCACCTCTGTACTAGTTTGGCATGGAGGGATTAGACCTCCCTGCGAGGTCACTGGCAGGTGGTTATCTCATCAAATCAGCTCTCAATTAACATAAGAAAAAGTGCATAATGGGGGATCAACGGGTACCGCTTAGGCACTGTTGGCTGTATAGAGGGCGCAAGTAGCTATAAGTATTGCAGATGGGCTTTAAAGTGTACTAATCACCTGGAAAATTGATAAATGTGTACTTACATAACTTTAATGTATAAAATCAACTAAAAAGACGTTGCCTGGCATTCCTTGAGTAAAGGGATAATAAACAATGTTCCACTTGAACAATGATAAGATTACACATGGGACCGAAACAAGTATTCAAAGTTTTTACACTACAAGTCGGGGTAAGCAGTCATTTTAACTACAAGCTGACGTAACCTCAAAGTAAACTGCTTTCGCTCCGCAACGCTCCGCAGTTATCACGCTTAACTAGTGGTTTATACTATAGCTTCAAGTAAACTTTTAAAGTGTGAAGCTAACGAATATATGGGTAATTCCATAAATAAGAGACCCACTTTGTGAAATTTTTGGTGTCCCTGTTACATTTAAAGGTAAAGTGATTTCCAAGCATAATATTGCATCCTCATACCCAGAACCACTTTACCATCTCACTCCACTATTCAAGTCTTTACTCAGAGCCACAAAAAAAAGGAATGTAGGTTCCTTATGTAACAGGGATACCAAAAATGTCACAAATTGGGTCCCTAATATATGGAATTACCCATCTCTCTCTAGTGCGCAGTAACTGAGAAAAGGTAATGTACAATGATGATCTTCAAGTTAAATCTGGTACATGAATGCTCCCATCGTGGCCTCGCAACTGATAATTATCACAGCTGCACATACATTACATGTAATCTTATCACACAAAATGTCATTGAAGACCAACTACCACAATGGTTACTTGGTTAGTTACAATAATAAGGAAATACCATGTGATCATATTCATTATCTTTAATGAATTGCAAAAATCTGTTTCCTTTAAATCTACTTCTTAAAGTATCACAGGTAATACAGAAAACTGAGCATAACTCAGGTGGTGACTGATGATGGTTAAATGTGTTCTGTCTGACTGGGGCTTCAGACTTAGTTACAGTGAGATAGGACTACCACAATCACATAGCTAGACAAGAATCGTACAGCTAAATAAGGACTGAATATAGCTATACACGATCATATAATTTTTCCCTTGTCTGAACATTGCATAAAGAAATGTGGTAGAATGAACCATAGCATAGCGAAACGCCTGATTGAGCATCATTTTGAACGCAAACTTGTTGAACAATCAACCTCCTCTCTAGTCTGAACGCCTTATCCTACAAAAATCATATAACTGGGAGGGGCTTATTTCAGCGCGCACTGCTGATTGGCCAGCTGCCATGTCAAATTGACCTTTTCAAAATTAGTTTCTTGACATGATGTCGTTTTCTAGTCTGTACACTCCTTTTGTCATACAACGATTCTTTACACACTGTATTTATAACATTATTACAAGTTTCGTATAATTTTTTTTGTAGTGTGAACAGGCTAATGTACATGTTCATGTTGGTTATGGAGGCTATAAGAGACACGTGGTGTCTAAGAATGATGATGGCAATACCAACAAGCACCCATCCTCAAGGTTCTAAAGACCACCCTTCAAGGCATGGTCTGCAAGTAACGAGGGTGTTGAGAAGGTCACAGTCATTACATCGTTAAAGTTAAGTGGGCTGAGTTAAGCCTGTATGTGAATCACCTGATAGAATCTACACTCAAGAGCGTTGCAACTATTTAAATAATTAGGAAAAATTCTCATTTGCAATTATCCCAAAATCCATTCGTCACACATGCATGTCTCTGAACTTTATACTGACATGAAAATACCAAGACTTCCACAATGCCATGCACCTGTTCATTTTGCCTCATCTACGAGTCTTCTTTTGTTTCTATCTATATTTAAAAGTTTAACAGATTCAAATTGCATTTCCTTATTACTATAAGAGTTCCAATTATCATACTTGATCCTCAAACCACAAGAGACCTCGATTTCTGTAACTTGTGTGGTGACTGGTGATATGACTATAGCAATAATAATTAAGTAAAGATGCTTCAGTATTCAGACTTGTTTTAATTTCTCCTCACAATTACATTTGATCTATGATTATTCTTTGGTTTATTCAAAAGTTGAACAGAATCATATTGCATTTCCTTATTACTATGAGACTTACAATTATCATACTTGATCCCCAAACCACAAAAGAACATGATATCTTTAACTTGTATGTCGATAGACCAGGGAGGTGGGTGTTTTAACTCTCATATCCCTGGATAGACTATATCAATAATAATTAAGTGAGGGTGCATAATGCTCAGAGTTCATAAACTTGTTGAAATTTCACCTAACAATTACACTTGATCTTTAAAAAAACTACATAATATGAAAATTAAATGAAACTTCCTGGATCTTATTCAAATTCCTACTGGTCCTTTCCTTGAGTTCTTCCTAACAATGCAAGGATCTCAGGATCCTGAAAGACATTCTTTCTAAATTGCCATTAGTTTTCCACCTGATTTTATATCAATATAAATGCTCAGAGCTATGAAAGGGGCATGAGCTCTGTGTAAAGCATTGTTAGTTCCCTGAAATTTCATCAAAATAATAACTGCTCAAACTCTCTGTTAAGTGCCGTTGCTCATACAATGTAGTTAGGAAGGTGTAAATTCTGTGTAAAGTGCTGTTGCTTATGATTAAGGAAGGTGTCAACTCTATGTTAAGTGCCGTTGCTCATAGTTAGAAAGGTGTAAATTCTGTGTAAAGTGCTGTTTGTTTCCAGAAATTCTTACAATGTAATGACTGCCAGGAGGAGCCTTGATTCTATATAAAATGCCATTGGTCAATACCCTTCTGAGCTCTCAACGGAAACTATTATAATAGTATGTCCTCTGGAGCCAGAAAGGCATTAATTCATTACTTAAACACAGACTTAATGCCCTTTTGGTTCTCAACAGAGTCAGTGGGCATTACCTGGGTGCTGTTACATTTCTCAAATTCTTCCACCAACAAAACAATTGCTCATAGTGAGAATGGCCTCAATTCTGTGTAAAAACAAACTGTTAGTTCCTGAGAATTTGTACGGCATAATAATTGCTCCAAGGGCATTATCTATACCGGTACTCAAGTGCTCTAAAGTTTTATGGAGTTTCATCAATAAAACCCCCTGAAGAGAGCCACAAGAGCATCAACTCTGTGTAAAGTGGCATCCTTTTCTTAGAATCCTATAAACTATATGACTGCCAAGCGCCATAAGGGAGTGAATTCTGCATAAAGTACTTAACGCTACTATTACGTTCTCCCCATTCAAAGATATATCAGTATTTAATGACTGAATGCTTACCTCAAACCATTGCATGTGCTTATTGCAACTGAAGATATATTGCCTTCTCTCACTTCTCCGTGGTAATAGCAATGATGCTGTGGAAATAAAAAGTAAATACCAGAAATGTACTTAGAATGTCATTGGTCTGTACATTCTTGCAACATACAGGTACATGTAGATGGAGAATCATTTACCTTTTAGTTGAAAGGTAATGGAATCTTACTTCACTATTTGATTACTTGGCATAATCTTAATCACTACCAACTGGCTTAACCACTACCGAATGGCTTTAATCACTACCGACTGATTAAAAACCTTGGTGCATCTCGTTTCCAGAAATTTGGTACTGCTAAGTGCGATGAACTGAGCATTGCGTTCCCACATATTTCATTCTTGGATTCTAATCACCCCTAATTCACAATATTTTTAATCGCTTCACTATCCTTTCAAAATTCATATAACTTTGCTATCCATACAGCATCACATCTTTTGAAAAACGTTTTAATTTGCTCAAATGCATATATAAACTCTCCCGTTAAAAAAATATTAAAATCAAGACTGAACAGCATCTGAAGAAAAAAAATTGTATGAGAGTATATCATCTATGATCTATTGAGAACCAGGGCATGTTTCATAAAACTTGTCATAAATAACACATGCTGAATTTCCATGACAAATTTGCTCTCAGCCAATCAAATGCCACAATTTCAGTAGCTTATTACAGTTATTGTAACTTGTTAGTGATAACAAGTTTTATGAAACAGGGCCCAGAAGAAGGTTAACTTTTTGTTGAATTACTTTTAAAAAAAACACAATTTATGAGTTCCAGATTTGGGAAGTTCTTGACAAAAAAATGATTAAATTGAAGAAAGAAATTATAAAAAAAAATGAGCTGTTGCTCATTTGCTAGAGTCTAGACACTAAATTAAAGAGTCTGGTTTACAATAACATAAATAAATATCCCTTTGGTTCTCAGCAGATGACATTGTTAAGTTCATCCATGAATAAAAGGATGTTTTGGGAAAGAATTTACGATACTGCCTTCTTGCACTCACATGCTTATGAGGTAATTTGGTGACCACGTGTCCGTCTTCCGTTATATGCGTCTCAACGTACCGCTTCGGAAACAGGTTCCTAGAAGAAGAAAAGAAAAAGAAAAAATATTTGATTTAGTGCCAAGAACCATTATGTATGTATCACATGTCTTTTGATTTCCTATTAACTGGTAATCGTGTAATGCAATACAAATGTATTCTTGATTGTAGTGAACATAGACCGTACAGTCACATTAGTATCATATTCAAACCGTTATCAGTTTCAACATCAGCCCATTGACTACCAAATTCCCTCTCATCTCATATAGACATATTTCAGGATCCACCAGGTTACGGTGTCAAATGGAGTCATGATTATTAAGATAAGGTGGAGAAGATCAAGAAATAATCATATTATCTGTGTTTGTTATGTGTAATACATTAATGAGACTACCCCAGTAATAAATGATCACAGATGGAGCTGACACTTATGGGGGCTGTAGGGAAAACTACCCTCTAAATTTTAAAATGAATCATCGGTTTAATAGATTATTGCTCTGTTATGAGTCATATACATGTATGTAGCAGCTAGGGTCCCATTATTAATTTGTAATAAAAAGAAATATAGAACCAGGTGAGTGGAAAAGGAATGTATAAAATTGAATAATTAAAATGATGTGAATGTTGAAGCGAATATGATCTTTTGTTAAAAACATATTTGTGGCTTACACCCAGTAAATAAGATTGATTGATCGATCTGTAATTGAAAACAAGTCAGAAAAAATCTTGGGACCAGCAAGATTTGAACATTTCTCCCAGGAAGCATTACATTTAAAGAAGAATATGATCTTTTATTGAACTACAAATTGTACAATATATTTGCATATGACCTATCTCATGGGATGTACGTAACCCTGAAATATTTGTTAACAAAGACAACAAATGACATCATGTAATAGTACACTTGTATCTACACATTACCTTTCAACATTTATCAATTCCATATTCCATTAAGTCATACATTTATGAAAATAATATATTACACAAGAAGGAAGCTGCAATTTGATAACCAAAGGCTTTGCATAAAGTCATCTCCTATTACAAAAAGCTTTCTGGAAAGTGTCCAATTTCTACAGGCCTACTACCAATTGACCTCCAAATCCGGTTTATATACAAACTTCCTGCCCGTTTTTAACACATGCATGGATGTGCACATCTTTTTAGTAGTAGTATCTTTTTTATGGTGAAATTATAACCTTTAGTTATCAAAAAGCAAGAAGAGGGTGGGATTACACGTAGGAAGGATACAAGCAAAGGAAATAGAAGTGGGACATTTTCTTGGAATAACGGTACATATACATCCTTTATCAACATCAGGTATACACCTGGTTTGACCACATGTTTTATAAACAACCAAATAGTAGAGGTTTCTGGCTACTTTTTATTACCAGTAGGTAAAGGGTATTAACATTTGTTGATTGGAACACGAGAGAAAACATGAATGTTTTATAGTTTTTATGCTTCTTAGAAAACTTCACGTTATTATGTAATCAGATGTATTATTGAATTTATTTCCACATTTGAATTAAAATACAGAAACACAGTTATATACAAAAGTAAACAAACAATTAATTTCATTGTTCTATTTACAGAAAACAGTCTTTCATCAATAAGATGTTGAAACCAATAAAATGTTTCAATCTCTTCAGTGCTGTATGCAGTTTTGATTTTTAACCATCCAAATATTCATGTTATATATCTCAAAATTTTGTACAAAAAAAAGATTGTTTTTCTTTTTGAAAATAAAAATGGAATCAGGAAACTTGAAATTTTGATGGAAAAAGTTTACATCAAGATGAACAACTTTTTCTGTTCTCATTGGACGGCCTTCATAGACAGGTTTGACTGCATACAATGATGCCAAGACATAAAAGTTGTGAAGCATGTCTGTAAACTCGGAGGAACTATCTAGGTATCAAGTTTAATATGAGAATGAAACTCTTGTTTCTTGGAACTCATGGTCAGTGGATTGTCTTTAATTACTCTTGTATCCTGTTAGAATATGTTACTGGTAGAATGCATTTCTTAATAATCCTTGTACCCTGATGATCAAAGGTAATTTGCTTTTCTTTTTAGTAGACTGTTAGATCCTATTACTTATTCAACAATATAAAGGCTTCTTGAGGTCAAGCTAATTTTGTTAATGCTCTCAAAACTAGCAATAGTAACATCTTAGATATTTGAAGGTAAATAGCAGACCTACTTCTTCCTAAATTGGACATGGAAACAATCAGGTAATCTAACATGAAACATATGTTTGGAAGTCGCATCTGTATCTGGATAAGTGAGAAAGCAAAAGAAAGACGAGTTTCTTTTTAAACTTATTTTTCTAAAACCGTGCATGAAGAAAATCAAAGAGAGTTGTCTTACGCATTCCTCAGTAAGTGATTAATATGTGGGACGGGAACATCCAATAGATTTAAATCTTCAAGAAAAATTCAGGCAATGAAGACATTCTCTGTGGCCTATATCTGCAAGAAAATAAAGTTCTATAAAACACAGAATCAGTGTTGCAAGTGCGCAAAGTGGAGAAATACAGACTACAATTTCCATTTTCGTTGCAAGTTTCATTTCAAGGTCAAGTTCTAACTCAGTTGTTGTCTGTAGGGGAAAGGATTTAGCTCCTTCAGATACACAGGTAGAGCTCATCTGTCATGACCAAGATTTAGTTCTTCAAACAGATGTAACCAATTTCCAGCTAACCGGCACCCAACTAGGCCAGGTCAACAGGTTTCTGAATAACTTGGGACCGACAGATTGAAGAACCTCGATCATCACAAAGACGACTTTCAAAAAGTCCACCTGAGGCTACTTATTGCTTCTTTACTCTCTTTAAAAAAAAAAGAGTGAATTTTCACTCTATTTTCACTTTCTTGGGAGTGACGTCCGTGATCACTTGTTTAGGAGTGAAAATCGATTGATTTCAGAGTGCTCTCTAAGAAGAAAAGAGTGAATGTTCACTCTATTTTCACTACATTTTCACTCTCCAGAGGAGTGACGTTCGTGATCACTCGATTTTTTTTTAGAGAGTACGTATGTTGTAAACGTACTACTCAAGTTGGACATCAATCTCAACTCTGGGCAAGAAATAAGCAATTAAATTTTGCCATAGTTTGAAGGACTTGCAACTGATTCATTTCAATGCCGATTCTTTATCATACAGGGCCTAATTGTTGGCTTATTCTTCATCAAGACCTCTTAAAAAGGCAAAGGAATTTCTTGAAAAGCATGAATTCATATGTAGGCCTATACTCTCTGTCAATTTTACGCCAAAACGCAGCTTAATTAGCCTTAACGAGATTGTGTAAAACAGCTGCATCACAGGGCTTTTATGATTTACCTTTGACATCAAATTGGCAACTCTAGGATCACAAACTTTTGCCTAGATATAACCACAGGAACCCAGTTTAATGAAGTAACTTTGCAAAGTGGTTGTAGTAAATGGTTAATGTCCTTAGGAAATTCCACCCACTTCCAAGAATCTTCACCATTGTTTTATGATCAGTTTAGCCTGTAAGAAGAAACCTCATCATAAAAGGTAATGTTTTATAATTGATCCTTACAATTTACAAACCACAAAGGACTAAACTGATAGTTGATTTTCTTTTGTCTTTATTTCAAACTAAATGCTACCTCAAAGACTTTCAAAACATCAACTCTATCCCAATTTCAACAATCTAATGTAAATTCCATAGAAATCATGTTTGAATAATGTAATGTGTCATTGTAATGTTTACACATCTAAATATGTGATGGACAAGTCTATTGAAACTGTGCTAGGCCGATTCATTGAAAGTCTTTTGGATCGTGTTATTTGGAAAGATATCAAACTGTACTTGGTGGCTAATATTTCCCTTCTTGTTCCTATCCCATTTAACAGTCACGTGATAGTCACAGTGACAGTAGCAGTCATGTGATAGTCACAGTGACAGTAGCAGTCACGTAATAGTCACAGTGACAGTAGCAGTGACAGTAGCAGTCACGTGATAATCACAGTGACAGTAGCAGTCCCATGATAGTCACAGTGACAGTAGCAGTGACAGTAGCAGTCACGTGATAGTCACAGTGACAGTAGCAGTCATGTGATAGTCACAGTGACAGTAGCAGTCACGTGATAGTCACAGTGACCATAGCAGTGACAGTAGCAGTCACGTGATAATCACAGTGACCATAGCAGTCACGTGATAATCACAGTGACAGTAGCAGTCACGTGATAGTCACAGTGACAGTGGAGTGACAGTAGCAGTCACGTGATAGTCACAGTCACAGTAGCAGTGACCATAGCAGTCACGTGATAATCACAGTGACAGTAGCAGTCACGTGATAGTCACAGTGACAGTAGCAGTGACAGTAGCAGTCACGTGATAGTCACAGTGACAGTAGCAGTCACGTAGCAGTCACGTGATAGTCACAGTGACAGTAGCAGTCACGTGATAGTCACAGTGACAGTAGCAGTGACAGTAGCAGTCACGTGACAGTTACAGTGACAGTAGCAGTCACGTGACAGTCACAGTCACAGTAGCAGTCACGTGACAGTCACAGTCACAGTAGCAGTCACGTGACAGTCACAGTGACAGTAGCAGTCACGTGACAGTCACAGTGACAGTAGCAGTCACGTGATAGTCACAGTGACAGTAGCAGTGACAGTAGCACTCACGTGATAGTCACAGTGACAGTAGCAGTCACGTGATAGTCACAGTCACAGTAGCAGTCACGTGACAGTCACAGTGACAGTAGCAGTCACGTGACAGTCACAGTGACAGTAGCAGTCACGTGATAGTCACAGTGACAGTAGCAGTGACAGTAGCACTCACGTGATAGTCACAGTGACAGTAGCAGTCACGTGATAGTCACAGTGACAGTAGCAGTCGTGTGATAGTCACAGTCACAGTAGCAGTCACAGTAGCAGTCACAGTAGCAGTCACAGTCAAAGTCACTGTAACAATCACAGGAACAATCATAAACCAGACAGTTACTGTCCAGACCTGAGCC